AACCAAATTTTTACCAAATGCAAGACGAAGAGTTGAAGTCTAAAGTCCTAGTAAACTTCTATCCCTGGTAATAGAGTGTTGTCGACGAAGACTGCAGACGTAATACACTGAAGTGCGGGCGACTATATATTGGTTTTCGGAGGAGTCAAGCTTCTTCTCTTGGTGAATTCTCTTTACATATTTAGCATTCAAACCAAAAAGATATTTTGAAAACACTATAGTACAAGAATCTATGTTTGAAAGAAAGAAAAGACTAAAGGACAAAACAAACAGATTGGAAAAACAATCTCTAAATTTGGAATCTCGCAAATCTATTTTTTCTTGGGCCTTTCTTTTTTTCCATAATTTTTGACAAAAAGTGGGGATTTGGCTACCCCCTCTAAAAGATCAGCAAATAATTAGTATTGTTTACTATTTTTATTCTCGGCAAGTCTCGAATTGCAATATGACGAATTAGAAAAAACAACAAACATGTATAAGGAAGAAATTTTGAGGCCAAAATTGAAACCAATGATTATATGTCGAGGTTTTGAAGTCAAACATTCCAGAACTCGAGTTGGATCTAATACGAGAGTTGGCAACTGGAGCAGTATTATGAGATATGCAATAGTCTGAAGTTATAGGCATATAATTTTTATTCCTTAGCACAGATTAAAGTGTACCTTAGTGTCTTTTGTCAAATAGCTCTATATATAGATTTCTACGACTATGTAGATAGTTTTTTACCTAGTTAGCAGGTTTTTATATCTGTAGACAAGTTTTTATAGATTTTAGGATAGTCTTTTAACTCCTTTATATTCTGGTCGTTTTCTTTGTATGTTTGTTTTTTTTACTTGTCTCTTTTTCATTTTATATTTACCTTCTTTTTTTTTTTTTACTTCTCTACGAGAAAGTGTTATCAGATTGGTGGCACTTTATTGTAGAGCAGTGATTTTGACAAGGTCGGTGAAACTATCTGTTGATATCTGGGGTTTATATCCTTAGTAAGTTGAGGATCCTGGAAGGAAGAAAACTATCACTTAGGCGGATCGCTTCTGGGTCATACTCTAGTGCTTAATTATAGGTAACTATAATTTTGCTGCGATAATGAGACAGATCGAGAGATTTTTTATTTGGATAGGCATATAGTATTCTTACAAGATAACGTAGGTTTAGCTAACTGAGATATCTAATTATAATTTACTACCGATTTATAAAATAAAAGAAGGATCGCTGAAGTAAAAAAAAAACTATATAGTCAAACCTCTCTATAATTATATTTATAGTTTAAAATTTTGGTGCTTATAGAAAATTTGTGCTTATATAGAGATTAAATTTTATAAGTGCTATATAAATTGGGTTTAATATTTTATATGATTATAAACAAATATAACTATAAAGAAGGTGACTATAGAGAGGTTTGACTGTATTTACAAAATTATATAAAGATCATATAATATAAACCAATCAAAATCACAGATTTTGTGTAACTTGAAAATTTTGAAGTCACCTTGAAAAACTTTATAATCTATAAGTAAATCTAATAATTATAAACATCACATGAAATGAATTACTGTTATGTATCACATACACGCATAAAGATCAATATTGGCTTAGTCAAGTCGATTACGTAGCTACCTAAATACAAACATAATGTGGTATGGTGCGAGCACTCTAGTTACATCAAATCCGTACTATTTTAGGGCGGCGGATCTGCACAACAACCAATTAGCTTTAAGTATGTACGTAACTCGCCGATCATTAGTGTGGCGTGACATGTCTAAAAGTCTTTGCTGTTTTCAAATGAATCGCTACTGCTCCAACGAATATGGACAAATTCGCAAAAAAAAAACCATAACTTGATAGCAACAGAAAAGATTTACAAAGTTATGGATTTTTTTTTGCGAATTTATGTTTATTTGTTGAGGAGTAGTGGTTTTGGATGTCTTTAGGGTGCTCGCACCATACCAGATAAGAACATTAGCTAATTTTATTGTAATGATTTTTATTATACAGTCTTCCCTCTTTATAATTGCCTCCCATATAATCACTTCATATAAAAACCTTTTTATAATCACACCTCTATTTGAGCCCAATTACTATTTAATATATATAAAAAAACCTCTATATAAGCACACCTCTTTATAAACACATTTTTTTAAAAAAATTACTATGGTCCCAACTGTGTGATTATAAAGAGGGATGACTGTAATTTATCACATGGCGTGACATCTTCACTGGCGCTCATACAATAACCCGATGATTCAAACAACCAATCAGAAGAATATCCACTAGTGTAACCCAAAAATTGAATTTATAAAAATGTGAAACACAAAAATTCATAAACGCTTTGTTAAAAATGACTGATATAACTGAATTCGAAAATAACTTTGATGACCTCTTGCAAAAACCGGCAAGCAATAATATATCCGAGACCTTGAGCAATGTAGACGTGTCTAATCCATTTCATGACGCAGTCTCACTTTTGATTGCGCCAATAAGTCCTTTAACTGATGTTAATGGCAATGGTACACACGATTTATATATCGAGCCTCCTCTGAACGATCTATTAAAGGATAGCCTGAGCTCCTCCGAACCGGAAGTACAAAGTATGGAGATCAAGTTTGATGAGGAAAGGGATTACGAAGAAGTTGATGTATCATCCTTTAAGGGGATAGATGCTACTTCAATTTCGTCAGAGGGTCACGTTCATGAAATTAGCAATAGTGACGAGTCTTTTGACGAAGAAAGTATTATAGGAAAAGAATCGCACGTACAGTCGAGAGTAGCAAGCTTCAGTTTGAATTCAAGTCAGGTAATTATAGTTATGGGCCATTTTGACCATTAACAATTCTGAAGCTCGCATTAATGAACTTTTTTTAAGACAAATTTTCATGGGACTGGAGAGTTTATTCCGGTATTCGAAATTACAGTTGAAGATCCGCAAAAAATTGGCGATCCCATCAATGCGTATATTATATATAAAGTCCGAACTAGGGTATGTTTAAACGATGGAAGAAATGTCATATTTCATGTTATTAAATCCACGATCTCAATTGCAGACTACATCCACTGCATTTAAAGATAAAGAATTCACAGTTTTAAGGCGATATCGTGATTTTCTATGGTTATATAATCAATTAACGCTCAATAATCCGGGTGTCATAGTTCCCCCTGTACCAGGAAAACATGTTATTGGTAAGGATTGTTAATGTAATAAAAGTTACACATACTAGACTTCAACCAAGTAAATAACCTGATGGTAGGTCGATTTCAGGATGAATTCGTAGAAAACCGTCGCCAAGCACTTGAAAAATGTTTGAATAAGATCACATCTCATCCGTTGCTACGCAGCGATCCAAATTTAAAGTTATTTTTAGAGTCGGATACTTTTGCTACTGATGTAAAGTTTATAAGTTAATTTAACGGTAATTATATAGTAAACATGCTAATATACGAATTATCTGATGACAGGTCAAACGTAAAAGTCAAGATGAATCAAAAGGTGTATTGAAATCATTAGGTGAAGCAGTGTCAAACGCTACCACATTCAGCAAATTTGTAGAAACAGATGAAGTAAGCTCATGATTTTTGATTATCAAATTTTCAAAGTATTCAAGATTACTGATTACATGTCACTCGCTGTCAGTGGTTTGAGAATCGAAAAAATCAGTTGGACATACTGGATTTTCAATTGAAGGCGTTACTTAAATCAGTTGAAGCCGTTGTTAAACAACGCAAAGGTACTTCTATTTCTTTTAGCACGAAATTATCAATTTTCATTAAACTGATTTCTTTAAGACTTGGGAAGTATGGTTGTGGATTTTGGGGACGGCATTTTGTCTCTGGCAAACACCGAAATCAATAAGCCGCTAGCAAACAATCTAATGACATTAGGAAACTTGCAACGAAATATTAAGGAATTACATGAAAAACAGGTTGGTGATTGATGTAAACACACTGTGGCATAATATCGAACTATAGATATTTATTCGTCATCAGGCACAACAGGATGTTATTAATTTGGAACACACGATAGACGAGTACATCCGCTTGGTTGGGTCGATTAAGGTTAGTGGTCTACATTTGTTGCATGCTCTGTGTTGAACTATTATTATTATTTTTTTTTTTTAACCTTTGCTTATACGCAGGTTGTATTCAACTCTCGTTCTAAGATTTATCAGACATGGCAGAATGCTGTATACGATTTACAAAAGAAAAAGGCGAACTATGAAAGACTGAAAAGTCAAGGGAAGATGAGCCAAGACAAACTATCGATCATGCTGACGCAAATTGCTGAGGTGCGAATTGTCTAAATTTTTTTGTCATGCATGCCTTCGATAGTTTGAGTTTTTAATGTTTATACGCTTATTTAGTCTGAACATCGTGTGGAAGATTGTAAGCACGAATTTGAAGATGTCTCTAAACTTATTAAGGCTGAATTGGATCGATTTGACAAAGAGAAGGTAGAAGATTTTAAGAATAGCGTTGAAGCTTTTTTGGAATCAATGGTGCAAACACAAAAAGAGGTAAATTTAAACAATTTTATTCTTTTATTATGACATTTTTTATTTAATCTTATTTATTTTTAGATTATTAATTTATGGGAGTCTTACTCCGCGCAAGTAGAATTACTACAGAATACAATTTCGGAAGATTACTCTGTTATGGCATCATGAAAATGAAATCTTTCGCAAGAGTTTTCAAAGCTTAAAATAAAACTAAAAATAAAAAAAAATTTTTAAAAGTAAATCCAATTCCCATAAAAATTTTCCGTGTAACAATTATATCGCAATTGTTTGTTTGTTTATCTGCTATCTATACTTTTTATATTGCTGAGTAGTCTCAAAATTTTTGGTCAGATTTATCTTGTAAGTGTGGACTCTTTTAGATGATGTAAAACAGTAACCAATCAAATATCAGGTAGCACGAACTTTAACCATCACTTTCATCATCATTCTTTGCAGTGTTGCAGAAGAAAGCATCGACTTGAAAATGAACCCTTTTCCTCATCTAATCTATCAGCCAAACGGTTCCCCAAATGCGTGTCCCATTGACGGTAATTTCGATTGAAATGGAAACAGGTGCATGTTGCCACCGTAAATCGTCGGTACACCATGAGGAGCAAGATAACCAAGAGACGGTGAAGTTTGACCTGGAGACGTTGCAGGCGGTGACGGCGTGTGTGCGGGAGAATGTACTGGGGACACCGGACCATTTGGGGAACCGTTTGGCTGATAGATTAGATGAGGAAAAGGGTTCATTTTCAAGTCGATGCTTTCTTCTGCAACACTGCAAAGAATGATGATGAAAGTGATGGTTAAAGTTCGTGCTACCTGATATTTGATTGGTTACTGTTTTACATCATCTAAAAGAGTCCACACTTACAAGATAAATCTGACCAAAAATTTTGAGACTACTCAGCAATATAAAAAGTATAGATAGCAGATAAACAAACAAACAATTGCGATATAATTGTTACACGGAAAATTTTTATGGGAATTGGATTTACTTTTAAAAATTTTTTTTTATTTTTAGTTTTATTTTAAGCTTTGAAAACTCTTGCGAAAGATTTCATTTTCATGATGCCATAACAGAGTAATCTTCCGAAATTGTATTCTGTAGTAATTCTACTTGCGCGGAGTAAGACTCCCATAAATTAATAATCTAAAAATAAATAAGATTAAATAAAAAATGTCATAATAAAAGAATAAAATTGTTTAAATTTACCTCTTTTTGTGTTTGCACCATTGATTCCAAAAAAGCTTCAACGCTATTCTTAAAATCTTCTACCTTCTCTTTGTCAAATCGATCCAATTCAGCCTTAATAAGTTTAGAGACATCTTCAAATTCGTGCTTACAATCTTCCACACGATGTTCAGACTAAATAAGCGTATAAACATTAAAAACTCAAACTATCGAAGGCATGCATGACAAAAAAATTTAGACAATTCGCACCTCAGCAATTTGCGTCAGCATGATCGATAGTTTGTCTTGGCTCATCTTCCCTTGACTTTTCAGTCTTTCATAGTTCGCCTTTTTCTTTTGTAAATCGTATACAGCATTCTGCCATGTCTGATAAATCTTAGAACGAGAGTTGAATACAACCTGCGTATAAGCAAAGGTTAAAAAAAAAAAATAATAATAATAGTTCAACACAGAGCATGCAACAAATGTAGACCACTAACCTTAATCGACCCAACCAAGCGGATGTACTCGTCTATCGTGTGTTCCAAATTAATAACATCCTGTTGTGCCTGATGACGAATAAATATCTATAGTTCGATATTATGCCACAGTGTGTTTACATCAATCACCAACCTGTTTTTCATGTAATTCCTTAATATTTCGTTGCAAGTTTCCTAATGTCATTAGATTGTTTGCTAGCGGCTTATTGATTTCGGTGTTTGCCAGAGACAAAATGCCGTCCCCAAAATCCACAACCATACTTCCCAAGTCTTAAAGAAATCAGTTTAATGAAAATTGATAATTTCGTGCTAAAAGAAATAGAAGTACCTTTGCGTTGTTTAACAACGGCTTCAACTGATTTAAGTAACGCCTTCAATTGAAAATCCAGTATGTCCAACTGATTTTTTCGATTCTCAAACCACTGACAGCGAGTGACATGTAATCAGTAATCTTGAATACTTTGAAAATTTGATAATCAAAAATCATGAGCTTACTTCATCTGTTTCTACAAATTTGCTGAATGTGGTAGCGTTTGACACTGCTTCACCTAATGATTTCAATACACCTTTTGATTCATCTTGACTTTTACGTTTGACCTGTCATCAGATAATTCGTATATTAGCATGTTTACTATATAATTACCGTTAAATTAACTTATAAACTTTACATCAGTAGCAAAAGTATCCGACTCTAAAAATAACTTTAAATTTGGATCGCTGCGTAGCAACGGATGAGATGTGATCTTATTCAAACATTTTTCAAGTGCTTGGCGACGGTTTTCTACGAATTCATCCTGAAATCGACCTACCATCAGGTTATTTACTTGGTTGAAGTCTAGTATGTGTAACTTTTATTACATTAACAATCCTTACCAATAACATGTTTTCCTGGTACAGGGGGAACTATGACACCCGGATTATTGAGCGTTAATTGATTATATAACCATAGAAAATCACGATATCGCCTTAAAACTGTGAATTCTTTATCTTTAAATGCAGTGGATGTAGTCTGCAATTGAGATCGTGGATTTAATAACATGAAATATGACATTTCTTCCATCGTTTAAACATACCCTAGTTCGGACTTTATATATAATATACGCATTGATGGGATCGCCAATTTTTTGCGGATCTTCAACTGTAATTTCGAATACCGGAATAAACTCTCCAGTCCCATGAAAATTTGTCTTAAAAAAAGTTCATTAATGCGAGCTTCAGAATTGTTAATGGTCAAAATGGCCCATAACTATAATTACCTGACTTGAATTCAAACTGAAGCTTGCTACTCTCGACTGTACGTGCGATTCTTTTCCTATAATACTTTCTTCGTCAAAAGACTCGTCACTATTGCTAATTTCATGAACGTGACCCTCTGACGAAATTGAAGTAGCATCTATCCCCTTAAAGGATGATACATCAACTTCTTCGTAATCCCTTTCCTCATCAAACTTGATCTCCATACTTTGTACTTCCGGTTCGGAGGAGCTCAGGCTATCCTTTAATAGATCGTTCAGAGGAGGCTCGATATATAAATCGTGTGTACCATTGCCATTAACATCAGTTAAAGGACTTATTGGCGCAATCAAAAGTGAGACTGCGTCATGAAATGGATTAGACACGTCTACATTGCTCAAGGTCTCGGATATATTATTGCTTGCCGGTTTTTGCAAGAGGTCATCAAAGTTATTTTCGAATTCAGTTATATCAGTCATTTTTAACAAAGCGTTTATGAATTTTTGTGTTTCACATTTTTATAAATTCAATTTTTGGGTTACACTAGTGGATATTCTTCTGATTGGTTGTTTGAATCATCGGGTTATTGTATGAGCGCCAGTGAAGATGTCACGCCATGTGATAAATTACAGTCATCCCTCTTTATAATCACACAGTTGGGACCATAGTAATTTTTTTAAAAAAATGTGTTTATAAAGAGGTGTGCTTATATAGAGGTTTTTTTATATATATTAAATAGTAATTGGGCTCAAATAGAGGTGTGATTATAAAAAGGTTTTTATATGAAGTGATTATATGGGAGGCAATTATAAAGAGGGAAGACTGTATAATAAAAATCATTACAATAAAATTAGCTAATGTTCTTATCTGGTATGGTGCGAGCACCCTAAAGACATCCAAAACCACTACTCCTCAACAAATAAACATAAATTCGCAAAAAAAAATCCATAACTTTGTAAATCTTTTCTGTTGCTATCAAGTTATGGTTTTTTTTTTGCGAATTTGTCCATATTCGTTGGAGCAGTAGCGATTCATTTGAAAACAGCAAAGACTTTTAGACATGTCACGCCACACTAATGATCGGCGAGTTACGTACATACTTAAAGCTAATTGGTTGTTGTGCAGATCCGCCGCCCTAAAATAGTACGGATTTGATGTAACTAGAGTGCTCGCACCATACCACATTATGTTTGTATTTAGGTAGCTACGTAATCGACTTGACTAAGCCAATATTGATCTTTATGCGTGTATGTGATACATAACAGTAATTCATTTCATGTGATGTTTATAATTATTAGATTTACTTATAGATTATAAAGTTTTTCAAGGTGACTTCAAAATTTTCAAGTTACACAAAATCTGTGATTTTGATTGGTTTATATTATATGATCTTTATATAATTTTGTAAATACAGTCAAACCTCTCTATAGTCACCTTCTTTATAGTTATATTTGTTTATAATCATATAAAATATTAAACCCAATTTATATAGCACTTATAAAATTTAATCTCTATATAAGCACAAATTTTCTATAAGCACCAAAATTTTAAACTATAAATATAATTATAGAGAGGTTTGACTATATAGTTTTTTTTTTACTTCAGCGATCCTTCTTTTATTTTATAAATCGGTAGTAAATTATAATTAGATATCTCAGTTAGCTAAACCTACGTTATCTTGTAAGAATACTATATGCCTATCCAAATAAAAAATCTCTCGATCTGTCTCATTATCGCAGCAAAATTATAGTTACCTATAATTAAGCACTAGAGTATGACCCAGAAGCGATCCGCCTAAGTGATAGTTTTCTTCCTTCCAGGATCCTCAACTTACTAAGGATATAAACCCCAGATATCAACAGATAGTTTCACCGACCTTGTCAAAATCACTGCTCTACAATAAAGTGCCACCAATCTGATAACACTTTCTCGTAGAGAAGTAAAAAAAAAAAAAGAAGGTAAATATAAAATGAAAAAGAGACAAGTAAAAAAAACAAACATACAAAGAAAACGACCAGAATATAAAGGAGTTAAAAGACTATCCTAAAATCTATAAAAACTTGTCTACAGATATAAAAACCTGCTAACTAGGTAAAAAACTATCTACATAGTCGTAGAAATCTATATATAGAGCTATTTGACAAAAGACACTAAGGTACACTTTAATCTGTGCTAAGGAATAAAAATTATATGCCTATAACTTCAGACTATTGCATATCTCATAATACTGCTCCAGTTGCCAACTCTCGTATTAGATCCAACTCGAGTTCTGGAATGTTTGACTTCAAAACCTCGACATATAATCATTGGTTTCAATTTTGGCCTCAAAATTTCTTCCTTATACATGTTTGTTGTTTTTTCTAATTCGTCATATTGCAATTCGAGACTTGCCGAGAATAAAAATAGTAAACAATACTAATTATTTGCTGATCTTTTAGAGGGGGTAGCCAAATCCCCACTTTTTGTCAAAAATTATGGAAAAAAAGAAAGGCCCAAGAAAAAATAGATTTGCGAGATTCCAAATTTAGAGATTGTTTTTCCAATCTGTTTGTTTTGTCCTTTAGTCTTTTCTTTCTTTCAAACATAGATTCTTGTACTATAGTGTTTTCAAAATATCTTTTTGGTTTGAATGCTAAATATGTAAAGAGAATTCACCAAGAGAAGAAGCTTGACTCCTCCGAAAACCAATATATAGTCGCCCGCACTTCAGTGTATTACGTCTGCAGTCTTCGTCGACAACACTCTATTACCAGGGATAGAAGTTTACTAGGACTTTAGACTTCAACTCTTCGTCTTGCATTTGGTAAAAATTTGGTTCAAATAATCGTTAGGAAGAGTTCTAATATTTTGACTATATAGTAAAAATAATATTTAATCTTTAAATATATGTTTCTTATTAAATATTTGATTAATCAATTCAACTTTTACCAATAACCATTTGTACCAACTTTTTATTAAGCATGGCTATCAGGTAACCCTCTATTCAGAATATACCAAAAAAGTAGCTTCTGAAGATAGTAATTGAAAAGACCAATCTTGTTAATCTGAAATATAGAGAAGCATGTACTGTAAATAGCAAAACCGTTCATAATTAGGGTTAGTTTAAAGTAAAGAAGACTTTAGAATCGATGATTATATGATTGAAGTTTTAAAATCAGATATTCTAGAATTTGAAATAGATTTAATAGAGAGTTTAAACTAAAATAATAATATAGAGATATGCTTATTCTGAAGTCATATATATATAATTTTTAGCTTTTAGCACAAGTTAAAGTATATTTTAATTTATAATTCTTTTTTTTTTTGTTAGATAGCTCTATATATTAATTTTTATAACTATGTAGATAGTTTTCACCTGGTTAACAAGTTTTATATCTGAAGATAGATTCTTATAGATTTTAGGATAGTATTTAGATTTCTTTATAATTTAGTTATTTTCTTTATATATTTGTTTATATTTTATCTCTTTTTCATTTTTTCTATACTTTTTTTTTTTTTTTTTTACTTCTTTACAAGAAAGTGTTATCAGATTGGCAATACTCTATTGTAGGGCAGTAATTCTAACAAGGTTAGTAAAAACTATTTGTTGATATCTGGAACTCATGTTTTTAAAAAATTGAGGATCTCAAAAAAAGAAAAATTGTTTATTTAGATGGGTTGTTTCTAGATTATACTCTAGTATAGAATTTTGGCTAAACTAAAATTCTATTGCGATAATAAGACAGATCGAGAGAATTTTTATTTAAACAGGCAAAAGATTAGATGGTAGGTTTAGCTAACTGAATTTTTACTATAATGTATTGCCAATTTATAAAATAAAACTAGGATTATTAAAGTAAAAAAAAAAATTAAATATTTGATTAATTTTAATAATTTTATTATTTTTAAAATTAAAAAACTTATTCTGTAACTTTTAATATTTAAAAAATAATTAATTTGGGTAATAGCTAAAGCCAGGTTTATTTATATATTTTTGAATATTTAATTAACATTAGAGTAAAGGTTGGTTAGAGATATATATGCCACCAAAATAGGTTTTCAAAAAAATCCTATTTCATCTCTATTAGAGCAATTTGGAATTTTTTATATACAAGAGCAAATCTAATTTAGGTAGTTATATTCTTTATAATTTCATCTCTTTAAAAAAAGTATC